GCCTCTCCGCCATACCATGACCCGAGATTACTAGGGAAATATCAGTGTTTTCCATGGCGCTTTTTGCTTTTTCTCCCTACTGATTTTCCTCAATTCACTTTTTGCCTTTTTGTCTAACTGTGAGCATAAGAACACAATTCGATCCCTACCTGTGCCTTTAAGTTCTTCTAGAGACCATAATTTTATTAGAACACGTAGAGGGGAACAAAATCTGTTTACGGTGCATGTGTGAATGTGTTCTACACAACTTTTTCTATTTATTTCATTTATTAATATTATTTGATAAAGTCACCGATGTTTTCACTTGGTCGCACATAATGCAACAAAAATGCTAACATAACATAAAAGAATTATGCTGTGATGACTATACAATAGATAAAATCCTCTAAGCTCAGTATCACTCCGGGAGAGGCACACAACCTACGTAAAACAAATACACATGCAAAAAGGGTAAAAAAAAAACATACAAAAATATATGTCCACAAAAAAACGGGAAAAAGCCAACGTCTAAAGCCACAAAGAGATACGAAAGAGCTAACATTCAGGGTACAATGAAAAGAGGTTGGACTCAGAAAATCACATAAACTTCACGATCGCTCGCAGTTCTTAAACCACTTCTAACAAAGTGACTCTTTCGAACTTACGAGCGCCAAATCCTACGTACACATTTTGATATTATATTAATCTCCGAATGCAATAGGAAAAGACAACAACAAAAAAAGGTCGGTCGGTCAAGTCACTGCGCGACGACTGCTGTCGCGGCAGTCGTGATCTCTCTCCCTTACTCTTTTTGTGTCATTACTATTAACGGAGAATTCTGAGCCACTGCCGACGAGATCGCAGCCTGCGACGATCACGTTCGTCGCACGCAATGCCCTCACCGAAAGAAACTACGCACCGTATAATGGGGCCTTATCCAGTCAGCTCGTTCTGAGGAGAACCAAAAAAGATCTTTGGAAAAAGGTCGGTCTCATCCAGTAGGAGGGGGAAGGATAATGTGGCGCGACAGTTGCTGCCGCCAGAAATTACAGTTTTGCGGGAGCGGGAAAACCGGGAGTCCCCCAACAGGCCACCGCGCGGCGAAGCAAGAGAGACGCAGATGCGGCAAAGAGACGAGTTGCAGCGCGTGCTGTGCGATATGAGACGTAGTACACACTCTCTTTAACCTGACGCCTAACCGCTACAGTATGCGCTGCGACTCGTCCCTTTGCCGCGTCTGCGTCTCTTGCTTCGCCGCGCGGTGGGCCTGTTGGGGACACCCGGAAAACCCTGGGAAATGTGGACCATTTCGCTTCCACCTTCTCACTCACCCTGAAGCTTCTTCCCCTTGCAAAACTCGGAATTTCTGCGGGTGGCAGCAACTGTTGCACGACATGCCCCGCCCTACTGGTTGGAACCCGAAAATATATGAAATTTTGAAGACCCAACAGTTGCAGAATTACATCACTTATGCCTTTGCCCTTGTGGCTCCATATTAGGATTCTTAAAAGAACAAATGTATTCGCACTGCTATTTTCGCCTCTTCAGATGAAGGTTTTGTTTTCTGGAGCAATAGATGAATTGCTTGATTTTCTTACAAACACCTGGCTCAACAGGGCCTGTGGGCAACTGAAGAAAGATTTCGTTTTCGGAAGCCCAACATTGCCTTTCCAAAGCACCCCTTGGCCATACCGATCAGGGGAGAATATGCGAAATAGCAATGCGATAGAATGAATCCTCATCGATAGTTGAAACAAATAGACGTAAACTATTTCCGGCAATCTGGAGAGTCGCAATTGCGGACATACTATCGCATGCTACGGCTGCTGCAACTTTGCAGCCACCAGCACACACGATGTCAAGCCCGAAACCCACAAACCTCCAGCTGCCGGTGCAGAGTGAATAAACAGAGCTCTTAAGGAAGAAACTCATAAAACGCAAATTTCGCAGTTCACATGAACGGAGCTGCCAAAATCATGAAGATCTGCTTGCAGAGCCATGAATAAACCTAGAAAAACGTTTATTTAGCCGTGTTTAGCTATCGATTACAATAAAGACAAACCTGGTATTGAACATAGAATGAGCCGAACCAAAATACGTACTGTCCGATAATTTTAGCCCATGAAAACACAACACGTTTTCCACGTTCCCCAGCATGAAATTCGCCTGTCTCATAGTATCGAGCTGAAATAAGGATCACAACAATAGGTACACGTATTTCAACCTTATCAGTATTGATTCACCAACAACGATGCCCAAAAAACCACTTCAACAACGGTGTTTACCCATCTTCAAGTAGAGGGAGAGCTGTACTGCTGAGAACGGGATTGTGTAAGGTGTTTTTATTATTCCTACCACTTACTATCAGCAGTCCGAGTACTTACGTGATAATCGTGACGCTGTACACAAACAGCTCGGGTTTCCGATATCACCACAACTGAACAGCCACTAACTAAACAACTTGTTGGAAATATATATATTTTATAAATCTCCAGGACGATTTCACAACCGCGACGCGAGCTTGCAGTAAGCGATGAGTAGCAATTTCTGTACGGATAAATGGAAGATACACAGTAATAGAAGTTTCTGACCTTCTCAACGTTCAAAGGTAAGGGACGGGAAAACCCCTTGCGTATTACACTGGGTTGACAGAAAAAGATGCAGGGAACGAGAAGCGCGACCACCCATTGCTGTTCATCTTTGCACGTGTTTGATTACTCTTTGTATTCTTGACTACGTCATAGCTAACCCAAATTTTAGGAGATAAATCATTGAGCACGGTTAGGGGCCGTATGCTATCCTTCCCCGAAGCTAGGTGATCCAAAGTTTCCTTTAAATTTATTTGTTTTGAACGATATAGTTTCTTCATTTTCAGTGCATGTTTACTTTTACCTACATACATACATTAAATGTAGGCCTTTATCAGGGCAATCCCAGTTGGGAAGACAGAGAAATTTAAAGGAATTTT